CATCATCTATTGGAAGAGCATCCTTGCTGTAGCTAACAAAGGCTCTGGAATAGACTTGGATATGTGAAACTGACGACTGCAACACCCTGAACAATAAAGCCATCTGCACTCGAACCATGCCCATCATTCAATCCAACAAGGAGCATAGATAGCAGGCACTGGAACATCCGAGAGTGGCGAAGCAGATGCCAGCATATGCATCCACGCAGCAGTTGGAGGACCACATGAGAGCCAAGCCCCATTGACTGGCTCATAGAGTTTGGGAATCCGATTTCTGCCCCTGGACTGTCATGCAATATCTTTGAAACTGGCTTTCTGTCAGGCTGATGACAGCGTTGGCATCCTGGCCAGCAATCTGTTATCAAACCGCTGTTGACATCCTGGTGACCCACGCATTGCGATGCTCAGAAGTGCCAACATAATTGTGGACGTTCTCTCTGCAATGGGCAAGTGAACCTTGTGGAGGTCAGTGTCGTAGGGGCAAACCACAGGAGGCGTTGAACATAGGCTTGTAGATTTGAGGGCACGAGCACCAGAAATCCCTGGAGTTGCACCATTGAAAATGGTGCCGTATGATAATATGTTTCTTGAGCTTTTGCACCATCACCGTTTGGACTTGCAGTATGGACGCCACTCTGCACGAGCTGGAAGCGACTGCTAATCGATCTGCAAAATTTCTCAAGCCGGTTCACCTGTGGTACAGAACATCGCATGTGGACGAACTGAATCGCACCAGGGGCCTTTCTCGTGCAACGGAAACTTCCTCAGTGCGAATTTGCTCTCGAGTGATGCCGCAGGACCTTAAAGTACGGCTGGGCCACGCGGTAAACACGCGCACCGCGATGTACAACGGATCTGCCCGACAAAACGCCACAAAAGTCGATTGGTGCCAACAGGTTCACCAGGAGCAAGCCGGCGCCAATGAACACGATCTTCGACACACATTCCGCACTCAAGTCGTCAACATCGTCGTCGCCACCCTGGCAAACACCCTCAGTGCGCGTCCCACACGTTTGCCCCGCCCAGGCTTCGCAACGCGGAGCAGCAAGAGAAGGCCGCGGCGGCCCTCGAAGCCAAAACCGCCTCGTCAAACCGGCGTTGCCTCAAAGAGGCAACACCAACCGTCGGGTGGCGCCGGGGCAACCGCCCCGCCCAATACCTTTGCCCTCATCCTGGCCACGCCACCCAGCCCCGGGCACAACGCACCCACCTGCTGCGCCAGCCGGCGCTGCATGCAGCGAGCGAATCGAACAGCGGGGACGCCGCCGCCCAGGCCGCCATCCGCGAGCTCCTCATCACCCTGCGTCAAGCCCGGGCATTGACTCAGTCCCCTGGGGCCCGCGCGACGACCGTCGATCACATCCCTCTTTTCCAGGATCGCGCCGCGCTATTGGCCCGCGCTCAGGGCGCATTCCCCACCCAGTGTCCTGCACACCGCCTCTCCTCCAGGCGAGCCATTGGGATCCGAGCGGCCAAGCCCAGTCTCCGGCCACCGCCGACAGATACCCCCCGATCAAGCTTTCACGGGATGGCGGCACCCCGCTTTACCGTTTGCCCCTTACGCCTTTGGGCATCTGTGCCCCCGCCGGGTGGCCCGGCGAGCCCCGGTCCACCTCACCTCCTGTGAAGGGCGCCGCCCCCCCTGCGCCTCCCCGAGCCACACCAGCGGGTGGTCGTGCACGAAGAGTGGCTTGGCGAAAGGGTCGATGGGAGGATGGGCGTGCGCGGCGCTGCCCGCCTCCCCCATGGCCGCCGCTGGCCCTCCCTCCGCGCGCCGAGCGGAGGGCGACGGTCGTCGGCTTGACCGGTCCGCGCTGACCGGGGCTGCCTGGAGCTCCCAGTCGCGAAGATTAACATGGCATCTGGGCGGGAAGGGAAAGGGATTAACAGAGTGTGGGAAGGTTGCTTGGAAGTCACCACGTCCTCCATCAACCTCACAAAAAAGGCCAGTGTGGCAGAGTCAAGTGTCCCAGACAATGCCGACAAAAGCCAGCCGGGCACAGAGGGGCCGGAGGATTGGAGGGTTGGGGCTTGTGGGAATGGGGTGGTGGGGGGGCGGGTGGAGATAAACGACGCCAAAGCCCATCCAGTCGACGGCCACAGCATGTGTGGGGAATCCCTACCCACTGTCCCTTCTTAAGTATGGTGCGATTGCTGCAATAAATTTCTTTGCTATGGCCATATTGCTGGAATATGGATTTGCTAACTCCATGGTTCGCTGAGCCTGGCACAGTGCGGCTGCGGCATTGCCTGCATGGCAATCGCACGTGCACAAAGTGTGTACATACATTTTCAAAGGGTGACTGAACACCCTGAACGCCTTCGAGGTGATGAAAGGACCAGGACTTGTGTGCGCCCTTTCCAATTCGACACAGGGTTCTTTGGAAAGCGAACTACACTGTGTGGGTGTTGGCATAAATTCTGTTTCATTCTGGGGCAGCACGCGCTGGCCTAGGATAATTGTCCGCCATCACAAAGCAGCAAGATCTTCTGCAAAAAGCAGGGGGCATGTCCCAGTTTTCGCAATACCAACGGCACCAAAATGTCACACACGTTGATGCAGGGATGAAACTATAGACATCGTTCTTGTACATCTGCAGCCAATTCTGACTTGCCTGGTTCTTAACTTTGCATATCTTGGTGTAAATTAACTGCGGTTCCTGGGATGTGGCGCCCCAGTAGGTATGCTTGATATCATACCAAGCTGTTTGCTCGTCTGAGGATCTGCGTTATGAAATTTCCCCCCCTCAGGAGGCGAACCATGCACCACTCCGGCTTGATGTGCCGCTATTATACCAGTTCTTGATGTCCGTTGTGTGAACATTTAGTGCTTTTCATGACAGAGCGATTGATCTAGCATCTCTGTGTGGATACTAAAATACCAAACACCATAACCCTATCACTATTCTATGCTTGCAAACTTGACTAATCAAGCCATCGCTGATGTAACTTCATTCTAAATCCAAGCCCCTGATTCTATTCTGTATCTCAGGCTTTATGACAGCGTAAAGGTTTGCACAGTAAAACATCAAAACCAGCCCACCTCCAAAATCCGTTTGGAACAGAGGCTACTTCATCAGAATAGCAGCACAGAATGTACTGACCAAGTTTCCACATTCCTCACGCAACAATTATTGGAATGGGCCTGGAAAGCAGTGGTGTGCTTTCCAACCAACATCCACAGGTCTGAAAGTTCAAATCAGAGGTGTGCAGTTGTTTTGCACACTGTAGGCCTGCAGTGACCATCGATAGTCCGGATATGCAAACACCCAGGTCCATCACCTACATTTGGACAGGAATTTCAACCACCATGTTTAGTTCTCTGCCTTTCAACGCCTTCGAAAAGTCCTCGAGGCTCAGCTGGTCTTTGGCACCGGCCTCTTCAAAGGCAAGCTGGACAAGTTCTCCAACCTCTTTTTCACTGAGGCATGTGCCAGCAAGCTGGCGAAGAACGAGGTCCAGGTCCTCCCGGGACACTAACCCTGCAAGGCGCATCCACGGTGGTGCACATTGGAAGACTTTGAGTGGGTTAAGTAAATCACCAGGTAGTCCAGCATGCAATGCCGCATCAGAGACAGCACAATCACTGACTTCGAAATTCAGGGTGTTGGAGGGAAGCGACTGACACCATGATACCATGATTCGCCTTGACGGGTATTTATGGCTTCCCATTTGCAGGCTTTCTGCACACTCCATCAAGAACATATGGAACCACTAGTCGCTGCACCACAAATACATATAAGAAATAAAATACAACAAAGAGTCTTCACGTGAATGACATTGATCTTTCATAAACAATGCTGCTGGGCACAACTACTGGCCATAACACCTGGGTCAGTTGGGGAACGAGATAGGTGCCAAAGGCAAGATTGCATTTCTACGCACCCAAGCAGGGAAAGGAAGCTCTGCACAACATTGTGCAGCGCAGCACAAGAATTACCTGCACACAAGGATGTGCTTCTGACACACTTTCTGACACACTTTCTGACACCTTTGATTACAGGCGTGGGCTTCTGAACTTCATCATCCACACACTAACAAAGCTGTCAGATTTTAACTGCCTGCTACTGGCAGAGAGGCCACCATGCAAGTGTGAGCTCACAAAACGCTGTGGCCACCCTGCAGTTGCTTTCAACAAGTGACAGTGTCCCAAGACCAGTCAGCATTCAAGCTGCAGGTTGTACAACAAGAAAGGCCATTGGCACCAACTAATGCCTTGCATGTAAGCAGACCGGGTATCAGCTCATATAGCAGAGCATAATATACCCTTCTGCAGCAAAAAATTTTCTGTGTTAAGATTTTTGCCCCACATTTTCTTCGCAGAGCGCTGTTTGCTTTTTCCTTTCGCTTTGCATCGTGTCTCGTGGTCGCAAGGTGGGCTGTGCAACCTGCTGGCCAAGTTTCAGGTGCCACTGCCCTGTCCACAGCCTCCCAAGCGCTTGCACCGTGCGACCCAAGCAGGGGTTCCACAAATCGTTTCGCCGCTTCATTTTGCAGTTTTGTTGCACTATTGTGAATGCCCATCAAATTCTACATCCAGGCTGAAGGACGCCATGAGGACGCCGGGAGCAGTCCCCAGACCCTGACGTTGGGCCGGTTTTAGCTGGGGAGCCCTCGATGGTGCGCCCCGCTGGTCAACCCAGCTCGACTTTGAGTCGGCCTGGGCGTTAATTTTTTGGTTGCTTTGCATATTCTTTCCATACTGTCATGCTCATCATTGTCACTCAGCAAAAAAGGCCAACGGCTACGTTGCAATGCGAAATGTTATAATGCACTACGGTAGATGTGAAGATGTGATGTGTGACTATAATCCAATTTGTGCATTGTCTGTTTGCTGCTGTGTCATCCTCTCTTTTCATCTATGGCGCAAGTAAAGTCTCAAGCCTAATGCTCAGACATGCATTCCTTGTGTATGTCCAGTTGCTTCTCTCGATATGAAGCATAGGAAGCTAAGTAGAGCTCACCGTCGCCATCAACATCGAACACCTCCAGGATTGCCGCCACTTTCATTTCGTGTGTGGCACGTTCACTGAAGGGGGCCAACATCCGACAGAACTCCATGAAGTTGACACCCTCATAGAAGCGGATGATTCTCTGGCAAAGCGGATTGATGGAGAGTTCTGGAATATTCATCAACTCCTCTGCTGTCACATATCCTCTTCGGCCACGGTCCAGAGATCTGAACCTCTTGTACAAAGAGCCAATCTCTGCTTGAGTGACTGTGCATGGGCAAATATGTCACATTGCCATTAGGAGATTTCAGGTACAGCATTAAATGAAATTTGTGAGCGCTGGAAGCAGTGTGACTGCTGAGCAGAGGTTTCGCTGCAGGAAGAATTCAACAAGCTTGACACAAATTCTGCACTTGGCTGCCAAGCTTCCTGCCAATGCAGGTTCTCAGCATGGTGAATGTAGCCTGAATAAGAGTATGGTGAATATCTGTTGGTTTGCCCACATCACAACTGTTTGGTCCACCACTTGGCATGAAGGTCGCTGATGCAGGTCATCAGTGAGACACAAAGAGTTTCTTTTATCTCTCCCATGCAAGCAATGGAGTAATGAGGCAAAAAATGGGCCAGGACAGGCAGATATAAAAGTTTCAGAAAGAACAAAAATCGTGTCAGACAATGACCACCCCATCCCTGAGGCAAGTACATGTGTGAGAGGTGCTTCCATGCTATGGAAGATGGCATGAAAGTCTTGCAGTGCAAGAAAATGCACACACTCAGAAGCCCCACACCAAGCAATAGCCCAGGTGTTCAAGGCTTTGATATTGCATCAGACCTGACACCATCCTGTGCTGTACAGCCATCTTGTGAGCGTAGCAGATCAGACAGCATCATCCAAGAGTCCAATGCTCATATGTGGGCTTCAACAGTTCAGATCAATGTTTAGCTCAAGGCAGCCACACAGTCAGATGCACAATTCCACAGTCCACATTTTGTCTCACAACACGTTCTCCCCTTTTGCTGCCACACATGCACTTACACACGCCCCCGGAATATGTTGCCACCTCCTCCACATCATTCTGCGTCAGGCCATAGGACATAGCCTGTGAAATCATATGGAACTGTCATGACCCCAGAAGCCTGTGTAGCAACCCAGCTAGGCAGCACATTATCTCTGGGACAATTTCTATTATACTCTCCACACAGAAAAGGATGACTCAGCCTCGAGGGCTTTGAGCAACTGGACTGGTACTGTGAATTCGGTTGCTGCTCCGATGCCAGCGCCAGTTTAAATCCCACTCACAGGGTACGGCAGTTACAGACTGAGCTGAGGCACCGCTACATTGCCTACAGAAGACTTGCAACTCTCCGCCGCTGGGACAACTTCACCTTCCATTGAACCCACATTGCAATCGCGTCGGAAGCAGCACGGATGAGTGAAGAATGGTAACTAAAGGAACTCAAAAGGAACTCCTGATACCCTTCCCCCCCCACCACCTACAGCTTTATGAGGCACTTTGTTTCCGCAGCAGAGCTTGCCTTTCTTGTACACGAGTCTGGTTCATGTACACCATTCACAATGTCCCTTAAGGGCGCACACACACACGTGACTCACGGTTTTCTTCCAGAAACGCGCACCCCCCGGCACCCCCGCACAACCCCATCCAATCACGTGGACCTTAAAGATTTCAGGCTCCGCAGCACCATGAGGGGTTGGCCATGCGCCATTTGATACCTGCCCCATCGCAGCTCCTCAGGGAAAGTCCAGCAGGAGGCTTTTGAGGCCGTTTCGCTCCGCGAGGCCACAGGCGAAGTGTGAGTTCCTCGGGCCGTAAAAGAGACTCAAAATAGGCCCTTCGATCAACTGCCAAGGCGCGCTGCGTCCTGGCCCCTACGTTTCTTCGCTGGGGTGTTCCGTCTGCTGAAGTGTTGGGGCGCGCTGAACGTTGAGCTTTCACAGGCTTTTGACTTGAGTGAACCTGGGGGAAACTGGTGATCGAAGCAAATTTGTCCGAAGAACAAGTCGAAAGCACAGCACTCTGGTCGCCAGCTGGCTCATCCCAGCGGGGAAGTATCAGGGTGCCTGAATTATTTTGAAGGGTGGTAGGAAAAACATCCTCTCTGAATTCCGCGCCCCATCAAGCATCTTCGAATTTGGCCGGTAAGATGCGACTTCGACAAGAAATAACGCACTGGGGCTGCATGCACAATGCCAAATGACAGATGTAGACTGCATCCCGCATCGGACACACATGAGCCAATACGCTGATGCGCATTGCGTGTCACTTGTTGCTTATTCGTGGGAGTAATTAGGGGCAGGCTGAGGTTGGGTGCACTGTGAACACAGGGCTCTATCTTTCCAGCCGCGAAACCGACCCTTTTCTCTCCCATGGACTTGTTCTCTTGGGAAGAGTTCTCGGAGACAGCTACGTTAGTTGCACTTGGATTAGCTGCTGCAACAATGAAGGGTATCATGGCAGTTAGCAATACGAAGCTGACTAAAACGGGCATTGGTCAGAGAAGCACCTCCGTATATTCAACCCTTCCACATAGTAACGTAATGCTTGCCCTTCTTTGCAGAGAAAAGAATAAAGAGAAAACGCTCTTCTAATAAGAGTTTTGAGGAGCAACGTAGAATTACAAATAACGCTCTGAAAAATGCGGAGCAAAAAGCGTAGTGGTCAAAATTTTTAATGAAGAAGATTTGAATTTACTACGGTGCACTGTCACACTGGGCCTATATCGACACAACCATGCTCTTTGGCAAGCCCATTTGACAGCAGGACAGCTGTTCCAAAAAAATTCCTCCGCAGGCAATGGATGAATGAATGAGCATCCCACAGGCAACTTAAAAATTCGACAAATTGGTCATGTCATGTGTCTTTGCTGAACTCGTAATAGCCAAGCAGCGTTCCATTGCTAGCAGTCTACACTGGCCTCCCAGTAACTGGCAAAACCCCCACCCCCACCGCATCAAGGAACACAATGACGCAGGCGAAGGAAACAAATCCCTTGTCCCTTCTGGCAGATTTCATCCCAAATTCCACCTCCACAATGGTCTATGCAATCTCCTCCATTCTCCAAATCCCTTCACTCGTCCACGAATGAAATAATACTAAAGGAGTGTGAAACGTACGTTTCCTCAGAACTCTGGTCGTTCACCCCAACAGCTGCCCTCGGCTATACCTATCTGGCAATGATGGGGGACCGCTTGGGTAAACCATCAATAAATTGTACGCTGAAAGACAAGTTCCCTTACGTATAGCAGTGCGGTTGACGTTATGCCTTGCAGACAGTGCCATTGTCTACAAAAAGCAACAAAACAACAGCCTGTCTTAAAAAGAATTCAATCTTGATTGACCAAAAAATGAAACTCAAATTCAACAAGCAACCACAGTGCCTTGTAGACCAGCGATGACCATCTGCTCCACAATGGATGGGGCTTCATACAGTTTCCCCTTGGCAGCTGGATCCAGCTCCAGCGGTGCATCCAAAGCAATGATTGTCACATGCAATGGGCCCCCCGGTGAGTTCATCAAGTGACGTTATGTTGAAGACAGTCACAGGCCCCTTCGAGTCGTTTTTGCTACCGTTTTCACCATGTCGCATGGCCCCAATCTCCAGCTGCTGATTGAAGTCGCAGTCGTAGATCCTGCCATCCCATCCAACATTGACAGTGTCACGACACATCAAGCCCTCCGCTGCAGCAGGGTTGAAATTGTCCAGCAGCAGCTGCATGTACTCATCCAGCTTGCCACGGCGTATGAGGAAGTCTGCAAACCTTTTGATGGGCATGTTGTTGAGACAAAACAACCTGCAGCAAGCACATACCCAAGCTCAATCGCATCTTGCAGACTACAGGATGGCCAACTGTGCAGTTCATGCAAAGAGGCACAACAGTGCAGCCAAGTATGGCATTGCTTAGCTATGTGCAGTATCAATGTCACACTTCAGGTGCAGCAGATAGGTTTAAATTCCTGCAATGCGCAAATGTGTTCTCAAAGACACAACAAACCACACGTGCCTCTGCCTGCACAGTTATGCATCCAAAGGACCGAGCTTTGTGAGCAGTTATGGGCACGATGGTGCCAGTGGTATTGTTGCATTCCATCGCCATGTGGCACAGCAGGATATGAGTTGCCAATGGCAACTGTTCTAAGCAAACGATTAGCAAAAGCAGTCAATTTGCTCTGGTCTTCCTCCCTTCAGTATGTCCACAACAAGGCATCTCCCTCAGACTGTGGCGCAATCGAAGTTGTAGAAATGGCAGACTGCCCTCATGTGCTTTCCTCCACTAGCCCTACAGTGGCACTGTCGCTTTTTCCTTCTCTCCTACCAGTGTGTTGTGTTTAGCACAGTTAGGTCCTTTCATACCCATGCACCACTTGCTCCATCCTTATACAGTATCATCGTAGTACGTCCAGCCCTTCCGCATCGTAACAAAAGATTTGGACTTTTTTTGCACAGCGATAGTAAACACAACGGTGTTAACAAAATGCGGAGCTGCCCCAGCCGCGAAGTGAGCATATCTGGATTGCTAGTGGTGTCTAGCGGCTCCAGGTGCCCGAGTCGTTGTGGCAGAAACCGACTTCGAGGCTATGAGAACTGAGGAGTCGCCATTCCGCCTGTGCTCATGATGCAGAGCACAAAAAGTTAACGGCCTGTCACATAATGCAGACCGAAAATGTACCACTGAAATTCGAAATGCGGAAAGGTTGAATATCCCATGGTATCTCCTGTGGACGGGCACAAAAGCCGATCCCCCTGCTGCTGCGACTAACACCCAGCTGTAAGCCTTGCTGCATTAAAACAGACAGGCCACAACCATGTTTGCTGCTGTCATGCAATATTCCTTTCTTTCTCCATATATGTCTTGAGTACATTTTGTTTCTCAGTGGATCTCATGGTGCTGCAAACAGGAAAAGGACACTGCCTCCACTTGTTAGGTGAACACCATTCAAAATTACACTAGCAGACATGGGCTTCTGGCTTGTCGATACTTTGTGCTGAGGCTGCTTAGCAGTCCCAGCACATCCCGGAACGTTGTGTTACATCGCCTTGCTCCTCAAAAGGCTTGCATGCAGTAAACTGCATACTTTGCACGCAACACAAACACACATATCAACCTGAGGCTCTGCAGGGCAGTGCAACCCAACCAACAACAGTTGCCACCAAACAACTGCACAGAAGGTTGGGATTCCCCTGCCAACAATGTGAACTTTAGGGATCCTGGCAGCATTCCAGCTGCCCAGCAGAACAACTTTCCAGCAGTGCTTTACACCACACCTGTTGAACTCTATTCCATGGGCGTCCATCAATTCCTGTTTGTAAGCTGCCTCCAGGGTGGCTTGTGGTGGGGCCAGGGATGGCCCACCAGGATTGTACACAAGATCAAGATTCAGCCCGGTGCCCTCCTGGCCATAGCCCAGACGATTCAGTGCCTGACCAACAGAACACATGCAGTCAGACATATTGAGCTATGCATCAAGGATAAGAAATTATTCTGCAGTGACCAAGTCAGAAGCTGGAAAAATCTAAGCGCACAAGAGAGACAGAATCATAACTTGACAGGATCCCAACAGGCATGCCTGAACCCGGTCTCACCTGCAAGCCCCAAATGCTCCTCTCAAAGACACCTGCACCCCTCTGCTTGTTGACATTCTTTTCGCTGTAACACGGCAGTGATGCAACAACATGGACCTTGTGATCTGCCAGGAACTGTGGCAAATCTTCCTGGCCAGGTTCCAGGAGCACTGTCAAGTTACAGCGGTCAATGATGTCAATCCCAAGTTCAGCAGCCTCCTTGACAAGATACCTCCACATTTCAAAACAAGGCTGATGGTCAGTGAGGGGCACAGCCACACTCAGTCTCTAAGTGATCAGTTTTCCTTGCCTTCATAAATCGTGGACAGCCCAAAGTGCTGTCTACCAGGCAACGAAAGCAAGACACAAGGGCATCCAGGCATAAGAAATCACAATGTGCCCCAACATTACTGAATCCATTCCCATCTACCACTGACAACGAAAGATATAGTCCATCTATTTAAACAGTAAACTGACATCAGGCACACCACCCCAATGGACAAAGCAGCCAACGATTGTCTATGACCCAACAAGGACACAAGCCAAATGGCTTGCACAGCTAATGCATCAGTCTATGGCTGTTCCAACCTCTATGGCAGGCTGCAAAAATTTGAACAAGACAACATGTGCAAGTGGTAAGGAGCCTGCCCACAAGTATCCCATACACAAGCCAGCGCCCATTAGCCCAGAAAAGAGCAACATAAGCGTTGTAATGGGGAATGGGGGCAGTTTAGGATGTGCATTCTAGCACACCGACAATCCACTGCATTTGCACCGGCAAGACCCTGCAACCAACTAACATAGTTTGAGTAGCAATGCAACCACAGCCCAAATACCATGTGCCGCACTGTACGCAGCACATCCTTGTGATCATCCTGCCCCCTCAACACACTTAGCCCGCAGCACCTGAACTGCGAATTCAGTTCTGGAGCCCCTCCAGTTATGTCCAGAGTGTTGACTGTGTGGCATGACTTTAAAAGCTCGATGCAGCGATCTGCAGTCTCTTTGCTCATCATCTCAGTCCTCTTGGGGGAACTCTCAACGTGGCAGTGTGTGCAGGCTTGGTTGCAATACAACCCAATGTTCAGCTGAAATATCTTTGCTGGTGACCGCTTCAGGGTGGTCACCCCGCCATCCTACAAGCACAAGGATATTGTTGGGCCCAAGCGCAGATTTGCATGCTGTCAGCCTGCCTTCAGAAACATCCACACCATGTTCTGAAGTATGGTACAGGGCCTTGCCAGCTCGAAGGAGGGCGTGACCCATTGTATGACAAACTTCTCTTCCTTTCTATGGTGGCCCCTCTTGATCAATACACAGTTAATCAGAGTGGCACGATTGTTGTGCGCACATGATTCAGGATTCCCTCTGGAGCCTCTATGGTGCCCCCTATGGATTTTTCCTTTGCTGCTGGTCTGGTGCCCTCACTTGCAAACATCGCTGTGGTTGCATATGCTGTGCACATCGTAGTGGTTGGCAGCAGTCAGCAGTGTGCCACAACAGACCTTGGACCTAGGCGCTTTTGCCGATTGTATATTGGAAAAGAACTGCACACGGACTTCTGTCGGGCATCGCCTTGCAGGTGCAAGGGTTGTGTCTTTTCGGATAGGTGCAGTCAATGGATGCACACAACAAGCAAGGGGACCAGGGAAACAGTGCAAAGCATAATCGAAGACGCAAACAGCCTTCATGGCCATGTCCCACTTGAGGTGTACCTGCACCATTTTGTAGAACGACGGCACACCCAGGTTGTCCAGTGATCTCTGACGCTTCATTCTCTCCTCCCGTGTCAATGCAGCCTGCCCCTCGCGGCGCAGGCGCTCAGCAGTCCTCTGAAATTCTGCGTCTTGGGCCATGTCCTCCAGGGTGTCTGGAATTAGAGACTCAACATCGGCAGGGCCAAATGTTGCTTGTCGCCTGGAGCTGCACAACGACGCAGGGTGAGGCCAGATAACAAGCCGTCGCACTCCACTCCAGTCTGCACCGTATCCAACCTCGCCCAATGGAAGCAGCCCGTGCAGTTGCTATTACAACCCAATCGGACACTTCAGACTTTTCAGACACTTTTCAATCAGACACTTCGGACATTTCAGCCAAGACAACCCGCCAAGACGCCTTGTGGCCCCCGCCATGGTCGGGGATGAGCACGAGCCCCTTTTTTTATGCAATGGCGATCATCATGGACTTCCCCATTCCGCACAAATCGCAGTTTCCGTCGTTGCAGCTCTACCCAAACTGCAGTTTGGCAGAAGCTTTGCGCACCCTGTCGTGCAGCCTCGTGGCGGGCAGCGCAAGCGGACCCCAGGAAGCCGACAGTTGAGAGGCGACGTGACGCCTCGAGGGGCAAGGGGACGTCCCGTGGTGGTGTGCATGGCAATTCCAGCGGAGGGCTCCGCTGCTCCTTGCGCTCCCCAGTGCCCCTCCTTGGGGGCCAGCCAGCAGCTGCCTCGTCGACGGGGCCGAGCCGAAGGGCCAGTTGCCTGCAACAGCCCGCCTTCGATCGCCTACGCACGACACACTCGTGCATAAAGAGCGAAAGGGTTACTAATCCGGCCCAGGCCTGGACTGCAATTGCCCATGGACCACAACACTGTCGGTGAAGTTCACACTACAGCAGCCCGCGGGTGTTCGCCTTCACGCGATCGCCCACCTCGATCGCCTTCTGCCACACCCAGCTGCAGAGGCCAACCCGCCTGGCGCGGTCGCCACTGCACGGCCACGCTCCCTGTAGGAGATCGCTCACGGCTTGAGAACCCTGGGAGCCCACTGAACCTTGCCCAGTTGGCTTGAGCGTGTGAGAGAGCACATTTTGGAACCAAGCAGGCCATGGCCTCGCCACGCCGGCACACGCAACCCTCAGGGTGACGGATCGCCGTTTGCTGGCCCCCCGGGCGCAGCCAGCATGGCCGGTGCGGAGCAGCACGGGGAAGGGCACGAGTCGGACGAGGGGCAAAGGATCATTGGGGACGGGCAGAGGCGCTCGGATCTCGAGGCGGGCCTGGGGGAGAGCGAGGATGAGGAGGTGGCGTCCGCGCGGGAGCCGGCCAGGGGGAACGGCGCCAAGGGGCCAGGTGGGGATATGGCGCCGCAGATTGCCCGGCGCCTGTGGGGTTTGTGCCGCAGGAGGGGAAGGGAGTGCTGGTCGGAAGCTACATGTTGGCTTGTTCCGTTTCGCCACCCCAGTGCTTGAACGGCGTCTTTCGTTCGACGGGAAGCGAACGCGGCGCCGGCGCAGAGGGCACGCCGTGGCGGTGGCCCTGTAGGCGCGCGCTTTGGCGCGCTGCAGTAATTGTGCTGGATGATTGGGAGGAATCCGACGCGGAGCTTCGCGGGAGTCGATCGCAGCTGGCCTCCTTCGCTGGCCACCGGAACTTTTCCACATTCTGAGAGCTACGCTGGAGACAAACGCTCAATGCTGTCGCAGCAGCGGGGGAAGGGGCGCTGGGCTGCCTAAAGCACTCGGGCGACGCATCTGCATGCAGCAATCGTCCAGCATTGCCCGCTCGTCTTGCTTTACGAATTCCCATTTGGCCTTGTGGCGCCCAGGCCCGGTGTCCCTGATTACCTTGCGGTAAATTCGCGGCCAGATGGAGGTTGTTCCTGCCCCATGGCTGGGAGTACGCGTATGGAATTCCACGGGAATCCCATCCCAGAGATTGGCAAGTGTGCGCTGACCTGCTGTTTGCTTTCAGACAAAACATGCCCGCCCTCCACCAGCGACGGGAACACAGAAGCGGACTGCCGCATCTGCCTTCTGTCGGACAAACTTGGCAACTTGATCACGCCCTGTGCATGTGACGGGACGTTGAAGTATTGCCACTACAAATGCCTCAAGCATTGGGTGAAAGAGAGCCGTTCTTTGAGCTGCGAAATCTGCGGGCAGGCGTACTTGGAACCCTTCCGAACCAAGCTCGCCAACACTGTTGCCCGGGCAGAAAAATTGGAGCAAGAGAGGAGGTGGGGGCCGTGTGGAAATGTTGGGAGTTTGATGCTGGAGGCTGGCTTTAGTGGGCAAGCACTTGCGGCTGCTGTTATCATCTACAGCGGTGCCAGTTTGCAATGGGCAGCTGTGTGTAGTGGTGTAGGTTGGGTGGCTCCAATGGAGAGGTGGTGCCTTTGTCAGCTGGTTTGAGGGGTACTGCCCAGTGGTCTTATCAACAAGCCCAGCATCCAGCCTGTCAGTTTCTGTCGCTTTTGCTGCTGGTGAGTTTTGGGCAAGGGCTGTTGGTGTTCTGACACTGCCGTTCCTGTGTTATGCAACAGAGATGCTGCTCTTGCAGCACAGCTTACTGGTGTTGGGGCCAGTGACAATATGTTGCCAGCTGATAATCGGCCAGCTGGTCGCCTGTGGTGAGTGTGCAGACTTGACTGGCCCCAACTTAACTCAGCTCAGCTGTTCTCACAGATGCCACGATGTTATCCATGGTGCTGGCTGGGCGCCACAGTGTCTTGCTGGCTGCATTTAGGCCGTTCCTGAGTCTGGGAAGGCATACTCTTGGTCTCTTGTGAACATATTGCTGTATCTGGACTAGTGCATGTGTGCACAATGCATGACTGGTTTTGATGGCCATGGGGGACAGCATCTGCGGCACAGCTGTGTCACTGACGTTTTTTGGTGGGCTGGCAAACACTGCAAGTTTGTCATATGTCTGTAAATCATTGATCGCAACCCTGTTTTACTTCTGGTGCGTGCTAGGGAATGCCTATGCCCTTGTTGGACGTTTCTTCAGGCAGCAGGGGCATGGCGCAACTTGAATAGGGCTTTGTGGGGTTCATTGCAGTATCGCAGACTGCACGTGGCCATCCATTCACATCTTTGTTTGGTGTGCTGGATAATCAGGTGCCGCGTCATACTGCTGATCTTGGTCACGGTTGGCTTGCTGTATATTGTGCTGTTTCTCTCAAAGGGGAGTCACTTTTCCTTCTGGACGGTGAGTGAGCCAGCGGCCTGGCACAGTTCTTATTAATGATGGGCTTGTTGGCTGAATCAGGTGCCGAGCCATGGTGCTGGTCGTGCTCACCATTGGCTTGCTGTATCTTGTGCTGTTCATTGCGAGGGGTAGTGGTGTGTTCGCCCGTACGGTGAGTACATGCTGTGCAGGCTTGCTGTGCCCAGTGAGCGGCTCTGCATTGGTTATGCCCATGTTGTGCATGTTTGCGATCCGATTTTGAATTGTAGGTGTTTTTGCTCTATGGGATTGGCCTTTGCTGTGATAGTCCAGTTCAGATGCAGCCTGTGCCAGACACACGCTTTATTTCCTGGTTTTCAGTGGTCAGTTGAGAATGCTCTCAACTGGTCGCGTGGGTACATCACTAGCCAGCAGCCTACACAAATGTCTCCAGTACAAAGAGTCGGCCAGGCAATGCGCCAGCATTTTCTAGAGCGCGCTGAAAATGAATGCCTGTTTGCAGCAAGGGACCACAACTGTGACTAGAACCTTCTCTCTGAGGGCAGTCGCAACAGTAGTATCCCACTTGTGTGTTTGGGTACACCAGTGATTCCCTTGGTTCTAACCAAGTAATTTCCCCATCAACAGCAACAACAGCCATTCCATGCGGTTAGCACTGTGTTAGCGCATAGGCAAAACCTGGCAGATCTCTGTGCATGCTCGTGTCTCCAACGAAGTGATGACACAGTGACTAATATGCAAGCCACCCCCAATCTTCTGACTGCCTAGCTGGCAACCTTGCGAGGGAAGCAGTCCTCTGAACAAATCACACTGGAGGCTGTCCAATTTGTTGTGTGGGACCATGCAAGTGATCAAACATTTGCAGTAACCGCCACCCTCTCACTGTAGCCTAGTTCCATGTGGACATGCCTGGCAAAGTCACTGCATCAGCTGGAACGAGCGATGTCTTGTATTCAGCCTAGATACGCTTGTGCATCCGGCCCTTGACATCCAGGCCAGTTGTTGATGGCGCATTTGGGTGGAGGGAAATAGAGAGCAGCCCATGCACTGTAGCTCACCACACAATGCCATTTGCTTGGAGCACCAGTTGGTGCATTGAGCCCATGGGGCATGGTGCTGGGGTCGTTTGCAATACCTGTCACTGCTGGTGCAGGGTATAAGTTAGGCAACACACTAGCAACTGATGCTCCGTTGACGGCTAATGTTGTCAGAGCAGCAATACAGCCTCTGTGCCAGTTGGACTGGTGCTGGCAGCACCCATAGGTACCCTGATAACTGTAGTTATGCGAGAGACTGCAGCTCTCTACAGCAGCATTCTACAACAAGTGGACTCTGTATGCTTTGGCCACACTGCAAGATCGCACTTGTCGACTGAGACCTTTGGCCTTGTGCTGTGCTGGTGAAGAGAACCCTGGGGTTCAGCAGCCATTGATGTTTGCTTGTGGATGTTGCTCAGGTCATGCTGCTGCGAGTGTTGAGTTTTGTGGTCCCCTTCTATTTAATTGGGTGAGTTTTCTGAGTTCCACGAAGGTCCCCTATGGATGGCATTTTGCAGCCGTGTGCTTTTGGCCAGTGGTGCTAAGCAGTCTGTGCTATCACCAGCGCTCCCAGCCAGCCCGAACTGTGTTGCTCGCCACACTGCCTGTCGTGCGCTCTGTATTGCTGACTGTCACGGAAACTGAACACATTCGCATAGGATCGCTCCCAGGGACGGGAAGCAAGGCCACAACCATATGCGTTACAAGACAAGCACATCAAACAAATAGTTTTCGCAGGAATTGTCCCCGGGTAGTATTCACCGTTCCCATCTTCACTGTGTTTTTGTCACCGTGTTCACCGTGTCCAATCGCACCATATTGAACAACATTCCCCGCCAATTACTCGCCATATGTTTTCCGCCCTCACACTCACTGTTGTATGGTTTCTGCGTTCAGACGGGGCATCATGGCTCTACAAAAATACCGCCAAGAGAGGGGTCTCATTGTGGACCAGTGAGCAAGTAGATGCAGGCTGTGCCAGTTAAAGCTGCTGAGCAAATGTGGACTACAAGCGTGCGATGTACATTGGGACTATCTTTCCTGTGTATCGTGGATTGGGGATGCTCAGTGCCCCTTTTTCCTTAGAATTAGGAGTTGTGCCGGCTGGAATCACGAAGTTTGACATTCATCTGTGTACATAGTTGCATACATAATTGCACTCAGCGTTTTGGTGCCTGGCTGTCGGAATTGGGCTCGCTGGGCGAGTGGCTGGATTGCATCACGTCACAGCGTGCATCACTGCGTGCTTTTGGTTGAACTCAATATCTGCATGGCCGTTCGCCCAGCCTGTTGGTGATTGACTGGCTACTAGAGTCTATGTGCTTGCCTCAACAGCTTGATGTTGTGGCACAGTGTTTGCCATTGGAAAGATCCGTGAGGGCAGTGTGCAGTGGGGTTTTCCGCAGCTGTGTGGGAGTGTAGTATGTGCTTTGGAAAGGTGACGCGGAAGGCTTGTAAAAAGCGATCATTTCAAGTGTTTTCTGTACCGGTGGCCCATGGATGAGGTGGTTTGGGTCCGCTGCCCCTCTACATTGGCTTTTTTCAGTGGCAGATTCGAGCTGTCCTCAGACGACAATCTACACAGGTGTAGCCGACAGTTCCCCTGTATCGCAGTTTCGGACAGGATGTGGATCACTTGCACCAGGGATGTGCGAACCTGGCCTCTGCCATCGTTAGAGTGTTTGTCCACTCAGGGTCGTGGATCCGGGATACATGGGCGGTGATATGCAGAAGAATTTCACGCAGAATTGTCATGTGCACTGGCATGAGGCCGGCAGTAGGGGCGTACTGCCCTGAGCATGTGCATGCAAACCTCCCTTGGGGATCCAAATGGCAGTGGTGGCCCCATACCTTTTTGGCCAATGGCACTCTGACATCTGATTGGTCGACTGCGCAAGCTGGAAGCCACACAAGCGTGCAATATGGGTAGGGAAGACTGTTGTGTGATTCCAGCAACGTGGTTGATGGACAAGGAGTGGACGTGTTATCTGGCGAGACCGGGCGAATGCAAGGGCAGTATGGCAGTGCGTCAAGCGGCGTTTTCAGCGGATGGACCAAAGGCAGTTCCCGCTTAGGATGTCACCACGGCAGCCACCCCTTGTCCACCGACTCCAGCTCGCCCTGCAGACCTATGCAGAAAATCAGCTGGCACCTCCCTATTGCAGGCTTTAAGCACTTCCAGGCAAACAATATCTGAGCGGGAATCCCAGCAATCCAGGATATACAACCTTTTTCCGACGTTTCTTGGGTGCCCCCAACCAATGGACAATATGTGCCAGTGACAATTCTGCAACGTTGCCCAGACAAGGCAGATTCCGCGGTCAATGCATTGGGCAACTTGTCTGCGTCAGCGCACGTGCCCAGGAGGACATGTCCTGTGTGCACGCGACTCGACTGGGACATCTCTCGTGACACTTGGAGCCCTCTTGGCGCATATATCTGGAAGTCTTCCACTAATAGTAGGCCCGCAAGAATGTGCACGGATTGGTCATGGATCGACTCATTGGTGACCTGTTCGGGGCGCCACTTTATGAGGTAGTAATAAGGCTCAAAGTACACATCACTGGGTAACCAGTGACTTACTAACCGGTTAGTAAATGTGGTAAGAAGGTGCCCCGTGTGGCAAGCAGATAAAGGACAGTCGGGAATCGCACTCACAAGAGTCGTCATGGAAGCCAAGCCAAGCTACTCAGGGACGTCAGCGATGGACCAAGGAAGCTACAGGAGCTGCACTTCGACAATCTGCAGTTGCACCACCGCTCGCGCCCGATGCGCATACAGAAATGCCACGAATCGACACGCCCACGTCACCACGACCCAGCACCCGCTTGACTGCGCGGAGTACGGCGAATCTGCACCACCCCCCTCCGCACTAACCCACGTGAGCCGGGAGGCCGCGCGAATCCGCTCCGACCAGACCTAAGGCCGCAGGGCTGGTAGCGGAGAGTCTCCACACCGATGCATTGGGACGGAATGCAACCACCCTTCCGCGTTGACCATCCCTGATCGACGGGCTGCGCGGGGGGCCCCATTGGCGGAGGCCGCGATCCTGATTCTGGAATCGCACAAGGAAAGTGACACAGCAGGGTTGCAGAGGGGTCGAAGCGCTGCCATTCTGCCGGAAGAAAATGGGGAACTGAGAGAGCGCCGTTCGGGTCGTCACCGGGAGCGACATGCAGAATCACATGGTGCGCATCGGCTTCCGTGGGGACGTACAATTGCGCTGCCTATGATGGAGCGTATCGATCATGGCAGTGCCCTGCATCGGGCCCCTGTGGCACACTGTGGGGCCCTGAGGGCCTGGTGGGAGCGCGGAATGCGGTGGGAGAACGGCCAGGCCACCAGGATGTTTGCCCAGGTCGCTAGATTCGTCAATTCTGACCAGCTTCGGGATATCGAGGTACCAATATGATCGGCCGACAAAATGCGGTATGTCTGCCGTTTCCCCAGGCCAGTCGGAGCATTTTTGAAGAAGATTTTTGCATAAAAACTCAGCCCAATCCGGGCCCTAGCGACCAAGATAGAGCAGTTTTTTTCAGTCTCTGCGATCCACGATGAGCTGATAGAGACAGCTGGTCAAATTTGATGCGATTTGGCCCATTAATGAGCAAGCTATGAAGATTCATGGGGTCACAAGGGCTAGGTGCATGCAGGGGCATGTCCCACTCGCATGGGGGACCGGAGCACGCACGAATCGGGCCAGGCGGGCGTGCGCCGGCCTCGGCGACCCCAAGATGTCGACTGGGGGCAGCTCAGAACCCTCCTTGGCAGCCAATGTGGTGGCGGCTAGGAGGAATCGCAAAGGCCTGCCCAGGGTTAAAGACCTCAATGCCAAGATCGCCGACCTGAGAACGGTCGCGATGCGCAGAAAGCACGTCTTGGGTGGAGGTGAGTACGTGATGAAGCAAGGAGTGAAGGTCTGGGACGAAATGTGGGTTGCTGCGAAGCGCATGCATTGTGCACGCTCTGTCGAATGGGCGAAGGCTGAGGCGAGGCATGAAGAGATCGAAGTTGTAGCTAAACCTCTCAAAACGCAGCTGAGGCGATCGTTTGCTGGAATGGAAGGCGTTCAAGACGATGACATTGAGCTGGCAGCAGATTAAATCAGATACATGACCGCAGAATTGCTGAGACTGTTGTGGAGTGTTTCCAAGCCACCCTGGTGCAATCTGCAAGGAATTCTGCCGCCCAGAGTCCGCCAGTTCTGGAAGAGCATTGTTGCTGGCTTGTGGGAACAAGTGCAAGCTTGAAGATGAGGTCACCAAGGAACGTTTTCGAAATGGAAAGGATGCATGTCTCAAGGACTGCATAGAGAAGTTTATTTCTGTGGATGCGATCAGCAGGCTTATTATTTATGTTTATGTTTGCGTTCTTATGTTTACGTTTTTGCGTGCAAAAACGTAAATTTGCAAAAGAAGTTATTTTTGCGGCCTTTTTATGTTTTTGCGACTCATTGTGACACCCAGGCTACGCGATAGAAATTGGGTACAGTGATCAGTACTCCACCCCCTTGGCCGCCCGCAACACAGCGTCCACTTCCCACTCGGCAAGGGCCACGATAGTGTGGAACACAATTCGTTTTTTGCCCATTCCAGCGCGACTGGATGCCATCCCCCGGAGTCCCGAAGGATGTATGTATTGTCTTTATGTACACGAGGCTGTTTTACCATTGTATTTACATATTTTGACTCGTTTTTACGCGTAAAAACATAAACGCGATCTGTGTTTATGGCATAAATAACAAGCCTGACGGTCAGTAAGAGGCTTAAGCGATTGGAAGACCTCGATGTCAGTTGTGAGAGCGAGAGGGATGGATTGGAGGTCATTCAGGCCCAAGAGGGCCATTTTAAATCGGCGCAGGCAGTCGAGAAGTGGGAGCTTGACGATGCAGCCAGATTGGCTGCGCGACGTTGGCTTCACGGTGGCTTTGAACCACAGGTGGACGAAAACATACCCTCTGGAGACGCCCTGAGGTGCGTGAGGGGTAGTGCCGTGGGGTCGGGGCTGGTGATGGAGCTGCATGACGTTGTGACGTTTTTTGGGTCACGAGTGTATCTCTAAGGATTCACTAAGGATTTTAAGGATGCTGTTATAATAGTAGCATGACATGAGCTGGGTGACATGACATGAAAAAACGCCGTTGGATCAGGTTATAGTAAAAGAATTAGAACATGTTGATTGGGAGTCAAAACGACTGGGATTCTAGCGCATTTCATGATGATTGGGTCGCGGGGCTGCCATGAGAATGCGCATTGCGCTGAGCGGGTGATGGCGCTGGCTCTGAGAAATCGTTAGGTATGGCATGTGATGGATTGCAGGCATGCATTGGCAATAGCCTGAAAGCACGTGTGGTAGCTGTTTGGAAGATCAAAAGTGATTTGTATTGATTTGATGGGTGTCTTAATTAAGACACCCATATAAAGGCACCCAATACTTCCAACATTGGTCCCCGTTATAACGAGGTCCAATGTTGGGCATAATTCTTATTTGAAGCGCTGTGGCTGGTTTGGGGCCGCCTCAACTGAGGCTGGCGGGAACGCAGGGCCGCTGGCGTGTGGAAAAGAAAGCGGTGCTGAACAGCTGCAATGAATCTTTGACTGCGAGTTTCCGTGAGCAAAGTATCCAAGGGATCCTTCCTAAGCGTCGAGACCAATATCTTGGACTGGATGCGGTCGTGCAGCGAATCGTCGTTCATGGCGACTGATTGCGGCTGGAATTCGGGGCACGTTTTGCATGCCCAGCGTCGCAGCGAATTTCCCTGCCGGTTTCTGAGCGTGGATCGCGCGACGACCTTCGCTGTGGTCCCCACCGTCAGATTGGCTGCCAAAATCGCTGCATTCTGTGTGAGATTCGCGCTCCAGAGCACCCTGGCGAGCAGCACATCGACATGGAATCGTGAGCACCGATTGCTGAAATATCCTGCAGCAGCTCACTGTTGATTGAGCCATGCGTGTGAAG